ATATCGTTGATCTGTAATGTATGTTATGGTATGCTGTAGACCTGATATTACTTATGCTGTGAGTGTGCTAAGCAGATTTATAAATAACTCGGGTGAAATACACTGGCAATGTATGAAAAATCTGATTAAGGATTTGAAAGGGACTAGTCAGTTAGGATTAATGTTTAAAACTGATAAAAATGGACTTAAAATAGAAGGTTATGTGGACTCAGATTTTGCTGGAAATCCAGATAATAGGAAATCCACAACTTATTTTTATGCCATTAATGATACATGCATTAGCTGAAAATTCCAACTTGAAAAACTGGTTGCATTGTCTTCAATCGAGACTGAATACATTATTGCAACTGAGGCGGTGAAGGAAGGGTTTATTAGGTGAATTAGGTCTTATAGAAAATCCGATGTGCATTGACTAACGAGAATTAAACCATTTGACTCTAAAGACCATAAATTATTATTATTCCCACTTGGGGTGGCAATGGCCTCAGCAAACATCACTAGCAATTAAAGTCGCTAGGCCGATGTTTTGGAGTGATGGTTGAAAAAAAAAAATTGTTAATACTATTTCTTATATAATAAAAACAATTTATTTGACAGGAGTTGACTTCTTGGTTAAATTATTTATTGGTTGAACGAATGACTCAATAATCCACATTTTCATCTGAGTTTGCATTGGTGATGAATTTAAAGCCTACTACCTATAGATATTTAAGAGCTGGCTAGAATGTCTACATTTGATAGAACCGTCTCGTCTCATTTAATTTGTGGCCTACCAAGCTAATTGCATAGGGATTTCAATTATTTATTTATTTATTTTTTTTGGGTCTTCATTTACTTGTCTATCTATAGGCCATCTGTCACGTGTTAATGATTGACGTACGTTTACACATTTTTTTACCTAACTTGTATGATTTACAGCTTTAACATCAAATTAAAAATTCATTTTTAATGATAAAATTTACTTTTCAAGAAGTAACTATGGTTATGGGAAATTTCTGACTATTTTTTTCAAAAAGATAAATTTCATTAAGTATCCACGTTTATAATTATGGAATTTATTATTATTACTATTATTATTATTATTTTTTTGGCAGTTGGAAAACGCCAAAGATTTTATTTATGAGGGAGGGCTAACAATTTCTTTTTCGGGTCTATTTCTAATGCCATTGCCTCATCTTTCAACTTTATAGTATTATTGGTTTCTTATTCTTGTATGAAGATCATTGATAGCTAGTCATTAATTTACAGTCAAAATTCTCTACTGTAAAATAGGAGTCTATTGTAACTAAATATCTTCAGGAGAGTTCTTAGCTTAGAGCTCTATATAATGCACACAACGTACTTGATGAAAGCATTTTTGACTGTCGGGTTATTATTTGTGATGGAAATATCCTTTTTTTTAACGAGGTGTCCCAACTTGCGCCAGACTATATATCCTCGTCCCTGAACCTCCGGCCCCTCAGCTGCTCAGGGAGGTAAATCGCAGGATGTGCCCTTGTTGGTTCCCAGGTTCCCACATGGCTTTTACTCCTTCCCCAAAGGAAGCCTCCTCCATTGTGATTAATCCACCAATAATTCCTCCTTTATTGGATCAAAGGTTCCCACCAGGAATCGAACTCCCCATGCTTGGTTCCAGAGCCCCCAATGTGATTGTTCCGCCAACTTGGATGTGCCCTGGGGGGCTTGTGATGGAAATATCCTTAGTGGTTCATAAATCGGAGTTAGTCATTTGCAAAACATTTGTATAGAGAAAAGCCAAATATTCTTTTGTAGTTTAGTGAATTTATCGATGATTTTCTTATAAAATTTCCTTTCAAATTAAGTGGCTATTAATTCTTCATTACGAGGAAAGTTTCGATGAGGAATGGACGGATGACCCGGTTAATAATTTACAACGCAATGATGATAATGGGAACGAGATGCAGCAACCAAGTCACGTAAACTACACTAATTGATGTAGAATAGATTGTCGAATGGGTTGACAAAGAATTAGATCGAAGTGAAAAAAAGAATGGTGCAGAGAGAGCGTCCGAACTCCAATTTGGACCCATAATACCATTTCGAAAAAAGATCATGAGATGAGTAAAACTCATTGTTTTGCCGTGACTTAAGATGGACTTTGGCCATTCAGGTTCGTTTAGGACTAGAAAACTACTTTTAAAGTTTTAGCTATTTTTGTCATTTAGTCAATTTTGAATTATTTTCAATTTTAATTTGTTTAAACTATATTTTCATGTAAGCCCTTATAAACAAAGTGTTATTTCATTGTTTTTGGTCATCTTACATTAATAAAATTTTGTGATTTTTTTTTCTTTATAATTTGGTGAATTCCAAAAATTGTGATCATAAGGATTTCGTTTAAATTTCTTATTTCGTGTTGTGTCACGAGTAGAGCTGTTGAATGACTAACATTAGCATGCAAGTGTCCTGAATGAAAATTTCAGCGTAGGATCGTTCACTATCGCTCGATTTTAATTGAGTAGGATTCAAACCAACTTTACATTATGGACTAGCAAGTATATTTTAAAGGTTGAACCCCGACCTTGAGGGCCCCCACCGCTCCGTCTCTGGAGTATCGTAAGGGAGGTAAATTGCGGGATGTAATCCAACAGGCTAGGGAACAAGAGTTTACCCGTACACTGGTGCCCACAAAGAGTCTAATTTCATATCTCAGGAATCGAACTCTCACACTGTGGCTGGCAGCAAGGTTGAGACTACCTCACTCCCGTCCTTTGCACCACTAGGTTATGTCCTGGGGGAGGGGACTAGCAAGCATATTTTACTTACAGTTATGCAAGATTTTGACAATCGTTATTTGAAAACATTTTTTTACTTTTATTTTTCTACATACTCATTTTCAACAGCATATTCACACAATAATATATTTTGCATGTAAATCTAAAACTTTTCCTTACTTTCTAGTCATATATTTTCTTAAAAATCGCTATTTAAAATTTTGTTTAATACAAATAATGGTTATCAAACTGGGGTAATTGGGAATACAAAATTACAATTAAACAAAGATACATAATTAATTGATCAAACATATATTATTAGCTATATTTCTCAACTGGGGAAAAAATGTGAAGTGTTAGTTTTTAATCTATAACGCTTGTAGCTGTAAATCTTTAATAAAAAGAAGCAATACTTGATTAAGCTCTAAAGTGTTCATCAGTATTATGCCCCAGAAAATGTGTGGATCAACAACTATAGAACAACGATTTATGGAGATTATATTGTAATTTTAGTTATGATTGGACATCTATAGTTTTACAACTAGAGGAACAACACAGTCGCGTATCGGGGTTGTCTTCAGGAACACGGGTAAATATGTGGGTGAAATTCCTCTCAGAATGGTATTACTAATATCAAGCTAAAGACGTACAAATCCCTCACAATAACATACTTGTCATTATTCAAATAAGTGTTACACACTTTAATTATATTGTTATATTCATAAATTACGTGACATACGCATGATGGAGAGGTTCTACATCAATCGATGTGACATCGACTAATTAATTGATTGGACTTATTTTAATTAAACAAATGCATATTGGACTTAGAACTTGGGTCTGACCCATTAGCTCACGAGCCCATTTCCTTTTTCTATATATTACACACACACACACACACACATATATATATATATATATAGAGAGAGAGAGAGAGAGAGAGAGAGAGATGTGAGTTTCATTCACAATTCACAAGACTTAGAACTTGGGTTTGACCTATTAGCTCACAGTACGTGTTAGAAAACGGAGAAGAAGTATGAAAATTGGAGAATTATATTTCTGAGTTGTGTTTATAATACAAGATGTATGCCCTATTTATGCAAGAGAGCCTATGCTATAAAATGAGAAAGATACAATAAATTCCTATAATTAAGCAATTTGTAATCCCCGTAATTAAGCAATCCCATTACTTATGCTACAATCACACAAATTATGCTAACACCTCCCCTCAAACTCAAGATAGTATTGTAGATGTCATTTTGAGGTTGCTTACTAAGTCGTGAAAACACCCAGGCAGGTGAGTTTTAGTAAAGATATCGGTAGTATGATCAGAGGAAGATACAGATTCTAAATGGAAAGAGTAACATGATGGCGAATAAAATGACAATCAATCTCAATGTGTTTAGTGCGCTCATGAAACACATTATTATGAGCAATATGAATAGCATTTCGATTGTCACAATGAAGAGCAATAGAAGATGAGTGAGAGAGACCCATATCTTCCAATAAATGACAAAGCTAAAGTAACTTCGCAGTAGCATCTGCAAGGGTACGATATTCTGACTCTGTACTAGAACAAGTGGTGACAATCTGTTTCTTGCTGCGCTAAGAAATAAGTGAGTTGCCCAAAATGAAATAGTAACTAGTCATGAACGACGATCCTAGGATCATCAGCCCTATTTGCATCAGAATACCCAGAAAGTATTAGAGAAGAGTGAGATGAAAAATGAAGTCCATGAAAGAGAGTCCACTTCACATAGCGAAGTATTCGAAGAATAGTAGAGAAATGAGATGTGTGAGGAGCGGTGATAAACTGACTGACCAAGTGAACTGTATAGGCAATATCGGGCTATATCATAGTTAAATAGATCAGGCTCCCAACAAATTGGTGATAGAGAGTAGGATCATCGAGAGGAGAACATCCACAGGAGTAAGCTTGACATTTGGTTCCAAGGGAGTCGAAACAGTCTTATTGTCTGTGATCCTAGTTTGAGAAAGCAAGTCTGAAGCATACTTTGCCAGAGAAAGATAGTAGCCATCTGAGTTGGATGAAACTTCAAGACCCAAGAAATAACGTAGAGGACCAAGATCCTTCATCTCAAATTGTTGATTTAGATACTGTTGTAACTGTGAAATACAGGCTGCATCATCACCAGTTATTATCATATCAACAACATAAAGAACTAGGAGAACAATGCCATTATCAGTACAACGAATAAACAAAGCAGAATCATATGGACTAGAAATAAAACCAAACTGAGTAATAATGGAATTGAATTTCGCAAACCAGGCTCATCGTTCTTGTTTTAACCCATACAAGGCATGTTGAAGCTTAGAGACTTTGTTAGGAGGATGAAGAAATCCAGGTGGAGGATGCATATAAACTTTTTCTTGGAGATCACCATTTAGAAAGGCATTTTTGATATCCGTCTGAAAGAGCTTTCAACATTTTACAGCGGCAATGGCCAATAGACTACGAACAGAGGTAATTGGAGCAACTGGAGCAAATGTTTCTTCATAATCAATACCGTATTATTGACTATAACCTTTAGCCACTAAACGCTCTTTGTAACGCTCATCAGATCCATCTGAATGAATTTTTATTTTATTAGCTCATTTACATCTGATAGGTGTTTTGCCATGAGGAAGATCAACCAAATCCCAAGTATGAGTTTTCTCTAAAACTTGAAGTTCTTGATTCATGGCTTGCTGCTAAAGAGGATCACTACTAGCTTAACGAGAAGAATGAGGCTCATGCAAGGTTACAATAGCGGAAAAACAATGATAATCATGAAGATGATGAGGGATTTTTCTTACTCGAGTAGAACGACGAGGAGGGACATCAGCTACAATCTTAGCAATCAGACAAGTCTCGGTAGAAGCAGTCGCAGGAGTAGGATTAGAATTGAGTTCTCTGGAAATAACTATAGCTAAGAGAACTGAGTTCTCTGGATTAGAATTAGAACAACTGGAGCAAATGTTTCTTCACAATCAATACCATATTCTTGACTATAAGCTTTAGCCACTAAACACGCTTTGTAATGCTGATCAGATCCATCTGAATGAGTTTTTATTTTATAAATTCATTTATATCCGATAGGAGTTTTGCCATGACGAAGATCAACAAAATCCGAAGTACGAATTTTCTCTAAAACTTGAAGTTCTTGATTCATGGCTTGCTACCAAAAAGGATCACTACTAGCTTAACGAAAAGAACAAGGCTCATGCAAGTTTACAATAACAGAAAAACAATGATAATCATGAAGATGATGAGGGATTTCTCTTACTCGAGTAGAACGACAAGGAGGGACATCAGGTACAATCTTAGCAATTGGACAAGTCTCGGTAGAAGCAGTCGCAGGAGTAGGATTAGAATTGAGTTCTCTGGAAATAATTGTGTCATTACTAGAAAAAAGATCGACTGATAAATTTGTGAAGAATTGAGAGAAATTAATAAGTTAGAGTGAAATTTGGATAATGAGGAAAACAAAGTTTGTTCCTGGAAGGCGACATGTCTAGAAATATGCAACCTATTAGAAATAGGATCCTAACAACGATAATCTTTATGTTCTATCCCACAACCTAAGAAGCAGCATAGACAGGCACGAGGTTCTAATTTGTTATGCTCATGAGGTTGTAGCAAAACAAAACAAGCACAACCAAAAGGTTTCAGAATAGAATAATCAGGGGTCTTATCAAATAATCATTCAAAAGGAGATAGATTTTTAAGAATTGTTGCTGGGGTACGATTAACAATGTAAACACTAGTTAATGCAGCTTCTCCTCAAAACTTTTTAGGGCAAGCGAAAGAGATGAGAAGAGCACGAACAGAGTCAAGAATATAACGATGCTTATGTTCAACTCTACCATTTTGTTGTAAAGTGTGTGGACAAGAACGTTGAACCACAGTTCCCTGTTGACAAAGAAACTAAAGGAGAGAGGAATCTTGATATTCCATAGCATTGTCAGTTCGAAGAGTTTTAATGCTGTAAGAGAATTGAGTTTTGATCATATTAGCAAATTTAATATAGGTTGTAGCAAATCAAATTCTTGCTTCAGAAAATAAATCCACGTAAAACAAGAATAATTATCGATAAATAAAACAAAATATCGATAACCATTTATAGATGGAA